ACTAGATCCTGTCAGTTCTACTACTCCATATTGTTTCAATGTGGATAGTGATCAAAAGAGTTATAGCGAGGCCATAACTTCACAAGATAGTGCATTTTGGAAGGAAGCTATAAATGATGAGATGGATTACATCATGGAAAATAATACTTGGGTCTTAGAGGATTTACCTCCCGGTTGCAAGTGGAATTTCACTAGGAAAAGGAGACCGGATAGCTCCATAGTGAAATTTAAAGCCAGATTGGTTATCTAAGGCTTTAGGCAAAAGCATGGTGTTGATTTTTTCGATACCTATGCACCGGTTGCAAGAATTACCTCCATAAGGTTATTGATTGCAATGGCTTCGGTATATAATCTAGTGATTCATCAAATGGATGTCAAAACGACATTCCTTTATGGAGATCTAGAGGAAGAAGTGTATATGAAACAACCCGAAGGGTTGTTTTGGAAGGACAAGAAGATAAGGTGTGCAAATTGGTTAAGTCATTGTATGGACTTAAACAAGCACCAAAACAGTGGCATCGGAAATTTGATGACATGATTTTGTCCGTTGGATTCAAAGTGAATCAAGCTGATAAATGTATATATAGCAAATTTGATGACAAAGGTCATGGTGTCATCATGTGTCTATATGTTGATGATATGCTTATCTTTGGTACAAGTCTACAACAAGTAGAATTAATCAAGGAATTCTTAACCTCATCTTTCCAAATGAAGGATTAGGGGGAGGCGGATGTCATTTTGGGCATCAAGATTATTAGGGACAATGGAAGGCTTATTCTAAGTCAATCTCATTACATTGAGAAGATGATCAAATGGTTTAATATGTTTGATAAGAGTCCTATAAATACCCCCATGGAACCTAATGTTAAATTAGTTAAGAATTCGGGAAAAACGATTTCCCAATTGGAATATTCAAGGATAATTGGATCCTTGATGTATGCCATGACAAGTACAAGACCAGATATTGCATTGGCTGTAGGGAAACTTAGTAGATTTACTAGTAACTCGGGTGTACAGCATTGGTTTGCAATTAGGAGGGTCTTGAGGTACCTTAAGGGTACATTAGATTATGGTTTGTCTTATAGTGGATTTCCTTCGGTTTTAGAAGGATATTCTAATGCAAGTTGGATCACTTACAAAGAGGATGACTCTTCTGTAAGTGGTTGGGTATTCATGTTTGGAGGAGGTGCCATTTCATGGTCTTCCAAGAAACAAACTTGCGTTGCCAATTACACTATGGCAGCGGAGTTTATTGCTCTTGCTTCAGCTAGTAAGGAAGCTGAGTGGCTGAGAAATCTCATGTTAGAGTTGCCTTTATTACCTAAGCTAATGTCACCGGTGGCTATTCATTGTGATTCGAATTCGGCTTTGATAAAGTCATATAGTCAAGTGTATAATGGTAAGTCTCGGCATATTTCACTTAGGCATAGCCTAGTGAAAGAGCTTATCAATGATGGGGTCATAAGTCTTGACTATGTTCCAACGAAATTGAATTTGGCGGATTGCTTTACTAAATCAATGCCGAGGCATTCCATCATATTTGCTTTGACTGGAATGGGTTTATGTCCTCAAACACAAATTTGTGAAACCCAATCTTACGCTTGAAGAAACATCAAGTCTTAAATTCAATGTGGTTGAATTGCATTTTTGTTGTTTGTTAGCAATGTTTGATGACCCATATTGCTATGGTACTTGTGATGTGCAAGGTAGCGTTTATTTAAAGTTCTCAAAGATTTAGAGTTGAGAAGCTCTAGATGAAGGTGTCTAGTCACAAGGGCACTATTACGTATATGAGAACCTACCTATATAAGTTCGAAGTTTAGCCGCTTCAAGAAGTCTAGATGGACATATAGACTTTGATTAACTTATGAAAGATACGGACACATGGCTGTTTAAAAGTGTCGAGTGATGATTAATTCGATTTGTCTTGTGTGTACTTCACCTTCGAATGGTTGGATATATCCGTGTGATTCAATCCATATGGAAATCATGGGATATGATCATCGTTAAGAGTGTTGTACTAGGTGTCAATTCAATCCGTAAGGACATTGGCATTGATGCATGAGATGTAGCTTAATTGATCGAAGTGGAGAAGGTTTTAAAGGTACACTCTAAATGGGGGAGGATTGTTAATGATTTAGAGTGTCGGAGTGGAGCGCCCGCGCCATTGTTCAGCGAGCCCGCGTAAGGTCAGCGCGGCCCGCGACAAAAGCGCGTCAAAATCGCACTAAGTCTTTGGAAACTTGCAAAATTTTGGCAGAATTGGGGAGGCGCGCCCGCGCAGCCTGGTGGCGCGCCCATGCGGCCTGGTGGCGCGCCCGCGCCTCTTAAGTCGCGCCCGCACTGCTTCCCTTGTCTGCGGTTTTTTGCGGTTATTTCCTTTTTTAATTAAAAGGAGTTTTGGTTTTTGTATGAAGACAGATAGTTTTTCTCTCCTCTTGAATATTCTTGCTTCTCTACAGTTTACTTGAAGAAACTTGCAATCTCTTCATCTAAATCTCTATCAATTAAGTTTGTTTTTTGAGAATTTGTAGTGTTCGTCTATTGTATTTCAAAGCGAATTTCCAGTTCAACCCAAGCACCGTTGTGGGGGAAATAATCGCTTTAGGAAAGTGTTTACACGCCTTAGACGAGTATCAAGTATTGAAGACTCACGTGGTCCTTGGTATTCTCATGTTCTAGTTGGTTTCTTTGGCTTGGAGTGAGACAAGTGTATTTCTTTCATACTTGTAGTTTAGTTTGATTTCTTCTGTAATTTTCATTCTAGGCTTGTTTTGCTTGGTATAAAAGTGAACATTTTATATTTGATTCACAACCCAAAAAATTATAAGATGACGTCATTATGATGGAAGGGGGTGTAAGCAGAGCTACCTACATAGGGGAGGGGGAGTGAAAAAATGCGTCGGGTCCCATAATATATCACATGTGACAGAATTAAAGGGACCTTACATGTGAGGCGGAGATGTTGAAGTGTAAATTTCTCAAACAACACATTTAACTGTCTCACACCGGAAAAAGAAGAGAGACCGTTAAACACTTTATAGGAGTAAGGGGCTAACCTCCTTTAGTCTTGTGAAGTGAACTCTTTCTCTTAATGATGGTGCGGTCCAAACCTGTGCGTAGCAAATCCAAATTTAAAATGTTTTCTAGTTTAAGTTGTTGATCAAAACTAATTGACAAATTAAAAAAGTATTGTAAAAAAAAATTGGATCAGCTGTTAACTACACTGTTTATCGTAGGTGGATTAATAAAAACTAAAAAAAAGGTTTACCTGTTTTCTACCTTATCTTGTGGATTGGTGAACTAATTTTATCGCGTTCCCCAATTGATACTAATGTCATTTTTTTTGTTTTGTTTTTTTTGTATATAATAGATACTAATGTCAAATACAACCTCCTCCTCTTTTTTTTTTTTTTTTTTAAGTCCCTAAATTATAAATTATGAATGCTACCCGGCCACCTAATCTATTTGGGTGCAGTGGTTGTCAATCTTTTCACCTAAAATTATACACTCTTAGGCCCTGTTCACTTCACCTTATTTTTGCTAAACTGAAATTATTTTTACTGATTTTCTTTTATATTTCTTCTTTAAGTTTACTGATTTTTACTGAACTGAAATTATTTATGCTAAACTGAAATTATTTTTACTGAATATTATTATTTTAAGGTGAAGTGAACAGAGCCTCATTCTTTAGACCCATTGATATGATACACAATTATTATTATTGTTAATTTGTTATTTTATTAATAATTTCTTAATTATACAGTATTAAAAATGCTTGACCCGTTATAAAACCTTAAGTATCTAGAAGTTTAGAATATTTTATATTGAAAGAATCTAGAAGTTAGACTAGAACTGCTGATGTTTTGTACAAGTAGATAGATTTAAAAAATACTACGAGGTACTGTACAGAACAGTCAAATAAAAACGGGCAAAAAATGAAAACAGTAACGGTTAAGAATTGATTATGAAATCAGTTACAAAATCAAGGAATTAATCCTTGTTCAAAAAATATAAATCCAATCCAACCCGGTTCGGCGCGCATGTGTGTTAGATTGGTTTGGTAGATAAGTCCTTCCTCTCCACAAAATGTGGGTAGCCCAAGGGCCACACCCCTTTAGGTGACACACACCTATACAAACCAAGCAACACTCTTATTTCCCACCAATGTGGGACTTTGCCATTTTCACAAAATTCACACTTAAAACAACTTGGTTCCAACACGTCATTACTACTAAATGCAGTCCTGCTTTTAGGTCATGAGACAACGACACTAGATATTTAATTTAGATAACACGTAAGCAATATCATATAGATATTTTAGTAAAGGCATTTTAAGATAAAAAAGTTATTTTAGAATTTTATTTTGATAAACGGATAATTTTTATTTATTTTTAAATAAATCATTAAGTAGGATGAAATTTGTAAAAATTAAGGGTTTGAACTTTTTTTTTTTTTTTTTTTTTTTTTGACAGGAGAATTTAGAAGTTGGAAAGCTACATTCTTGAGTGTATATATATGTTGCCACATGCTAGACTACTAGATTGGAGGATTACAAGAGGAAAATCATGTTAATTGACCTTTAGATTGTTTAAGGGTGCTAATTCAAATGTCAGTATTAGAACTCTAAGAATAATTATTGTATAATAATTACTACTGTAGTACGTTAGTACACATATAATACGAAGTAGATTAATAATGTTCTTGTATCATTTTCATTTTTTTCTATAGGCAAACTTTTAAAGTTACTGTAAAAATTCAATGAGACAATCTTTAAAGTACAGATGAATTATAATTTTACTTCATACATACGAATTGAATAATTTTCACACAATATATTTTTTATTTTAGTATAAAACTAATCAAGAGTTAATATATACTTCGTACAATATTAGAGAATATATAAACAGCTCAAAAGCTTATTGAAAAAAATGGGAAGACTAGTTTAATGGTATGAATGATTTAGATTGTCAAAGTTAGAGAAATAATGAAAATACACACACATAAGAAAATAACAGGATGGAAAATGGGTGTTATTGGTTTAGTTGACGTCCCTGAAGAAGTAAAACACAGCCAATTCAACACTGAAACCTAACCCCATAGATAGTAGATAGTACGTTGAATTTAAAGAACTCCCACTCCTTTTTTTATTCAAAAAATAAAGTTGTTGTTAAATGCTTGTCATATTGCGCGGAGATTGCCAACTGATTGGGATTCCTTTTCTCACATAATACTACTGTAGTTTGCTAATCTCTTTATCCTGCTCTTCAATTCATCTTTCATCATCCTCTGTTTTTTTTTTGGGATAATAATGAAGCTGCCCCTTCTGTAGCCTATACTACTGTATCAATCATCCAGTATTAATCACTAGATACCTTATACCGAGATATGTCTCTTAATCGATTATGCTACATCCTCCCTACGGAGACGGAGATGGAGACGGCGATGGTGGATAAGGAAGTAATAGCCGAGTCTGAGCAATCCAAAGGGCGTAGGAGCTGCCATGATCAAGTTGTTTCAATGGTGAGAAGATCAATAAGGCGTCTGGTGATGAGTGGATCAGGATTATGCGGTGTCAAATTTAATAAAAGCACGGAACAGCAGCAGGAAGGGGCGTTGTTTCACGACATAGGAGGAGTAGAATTCTCAGACATGGACACCAATAATATGAGCAACCCCAAGATGTTCAATTTTGCTGAGCTTTATATTGGAACCAACGGTTTTAGTCAGGACCAGGTCCTTGGAAGTGGTGGTTTTGGTAGGGTCTTTAAGGCCGTCTTACCCAGCGATGGCACGCTCGTTGCTGTCAAGTGCTTGCTCAATACTACTACTACTATTCCTACCAATTATAATAAGGCTTCCTCAGATCATCATCTTATTAACAGCACCATCGACAAGACTTTCGCCGCCGAGTTGGTTGCCGTGGCTCACCTGCGCCATAGGAATCTGGTCAGGTTAAGAGGTTGGTGTGTTCATGACTACCAGCTCCTCCTTGTCTATGATTACATGCCCAACCGAAGTCTTGACAGGGTCCTCTTCAAGAATACCTCCAAGTCCCTTGTTCTAGATTTCCAAAGGAGGAGCAACATAGTCCTTGGCTTGGCTGCTGCCTTGTTTTATCTCCATGAGCAGCTCGATACTCAGATCATCCATAGGGACGTCAAAACCAGCAACGTCATGCTCGATTCTCACTACAACGCCAGGCTTGGCGACTTTGGCCTCGCTCGCTGGCTTGAGCATGACCACCATCTCCCTGATTCCCGACTCCATACCACTACTACTCCTCATAAACACAGTAAGAACACAACATCTCTCCTGTCTTCATCCAGGAGATCATCAGATTACCAATTTCGGCTGGCAGAGACCAGCAGGATTGGAGGAACAATAGGCTACCTGCCTCCTGAAAGCTTCCAAAAGCGCTACGTTGCCACTGCAAAGTCCGACGTCTTTAGCTTTGGGATTGTGGTCTTGGAAGTTGCTTCTGGAAGGCGAGCCATTGATCTTACTCAGTCCGATGATAAGATCATATTACTGGATTGGGTTCGAAGATTGGCTGATGATGGCACCCTGCTGCTAGCTGCAGATGCTCGACTGGCTGAAGGATCTTACCAGGCGTATGACATGGAACGTTTGATCCATCTGGGACTCCTTTGCACCCTCCACAGTCCCAGATCACGCCCTCACATGAAATGGGTTCTGGATGCCCTCTGTGGAAATCTTTCTGGCAAACTTCCATCTCTCCCTTCTTTCAAGACACATCCTATGTATATCTCCTTGTCTACCACCAGCAGCAGCGCATCTGACACCGGTACCGCCAGACCCAACTTCACCACCACTACTACCGTCACTGCATCATCCATTTCAACAATCTATGTTACTGCTGCTGGAAAAACCATATTTGTAACAGCCCAAGGTATTGATGATGATGATGATCTGAATGACAAAGACAACAGATCATATACATATACTGATGATGTAGATAGCAAGCCTGACAAAAACTCCTTTCACCTTCTGATGGTTGAGACGCCAAGAGAGATATCTTACAAAGAGATCGTTTCTGCAACCCACAATTTCTCAGACAATCACAGGGTGGCCGAGCTGGACTTTGGAACTGCCTACCAAGGCTTCCTTGAAGACCGCCATCATGTCCTTGTCAAGCGCCTTGGAATGAAAATTTGCCCTGCCCTACGAGCCCGCTTCTCAACGGAGCTCCATAATTTAGGAAGGCTTCGCCACCGCAACCTAGTACAACTCCGTGGCTGGTGCACTGAGCAAGGAGAAATGCTGGTGGTCTATGATTACTTAGCCAGTCGGCTCCTCAGCAACATGTTGTTCCATAACACCACCAAAGTCCTGCAATGGCATCACCGTTACTATATAATAACATCACTTGCCTCCGCAGTTGTGTATCTCCATGAGGAATGGGATGAACAAGTTATCCACAGAAATATTACCTCTTCATCCATAGTTGTTGACCCAGACATGAATCCTAGGCTCACCAGTTTCGCACTTGCTGAGTTCTTGACAAGAAACGAGCATGGGCATCATGTAGCTAGCACCGATAATTCAGTTCGGGGGATATTTGGGTACATGTCACCTGAATACTTGGAGTCTGGAGAAGCAAACACTGCTGCTGATGTATATAGCTTTGGAATTGTGGTGCTTGAGGTGATTACTGGACAGATGGCTGTTGACTGTCGTCATCCTGAGGTGCTATTAGTCAAGAGAATCCGTAAATTTAAGGATACAGACAGACCTTTTGAGTTGGCAGATCCGCAGTTGGATGGGGAGTATGAGCATCAGGAATTTGTCAGACTACTGAAATTAGGACTGGCTTGTACACATTCCAATTCACAATTACGACCAACTATGAAACAAATTGTCAGCATACTCAATGGTAACACTTCTTGCTTCATCCAAGGGAGTATTGAGGGAATACAAGAATGGAAACGAGCAAATACCTATTCATTGTCATTGGTCAGACGAATCCAGGCCTTAGGGATTCAATAGCACCCTTCGGGATACTATATAATAGATACAGATAGTGTCTAAAACTTCCTTTATACATGATGCAGATGCAATTTGTGGTTAATTAGTCCCTTTTAATTATTTTTAAACAAAATTGATCAGCTTTTAGCTAGTAGTAACTGCTAGTTTTTTGTGCTTGTTTTTAAATTAGCTAAATTTTTACCCTATTTTTCTGGGTTGTACCAAGCTTGCTTTTGTATAAAGTAATGTTATATATATGTTTTGCCTGTTGGTTATGCTTCACCTTGCTTCTCTTTGCTAAGTATGGGTATGGTTAATTGGAGGCATTAATTTTACTCTTTTTGTTGATTACTGGGCTCAGATCTTAGCCAGTTCCTCAATCTCATGTCATCTACAGGTACCTTTTTTTTTTTTTTTTTTTTTTTTTTTTTTTTTTTTTTTTGTTTGCACCCCAGATGATTTAATTTATGACTTGGTTGGCCAAATTCTTTGTCAATATAGATGCAGATAATTAATACTCCGCAGATAGTTGACATAAAAAATTCAGATGACATGTCTTGATCTGAATGAGATGTGATTTGATCATTGAGCTTCAACTGAACAAGCCTTGGTAGGTTCTTCTATGACATCTAATCTACCTGTCAAGCCTTAGTGCTCCGGCATATAACTACAACCAAATTCCCCAAGACTAGCATGTTTTTCAGAAGAAGAAAAAAAGGACAAGAAAAGACTTGCACTTGGAGTAACAGCTCCTGCAAGTGCAAGTTGGGCATGGAAAAGTGTTTGTAGAACTAAGTATGATGACCTTAGGGTTGCATTACAGGGTGACAATTGGCTGTTTGCACAATCATACAAAGTAGCGAATGTTTATGCTACGACCTTTAGATCAACAGTAGAAGCAGCAATGGGCTAATTAAAATGATGTGGAATAGATATTATTCCTAAGCATAGATTTATTTTGTGGCTTGCCATTCTTGGGAGACTGCAAACAAAATAGACTCTTCCAACTTCGTATCAGGTGAGACTGATCAGTGTTCTAAATGCGATAGAGAAAAGAAACTCGTCCGCATTTATTCTTTGAATGTGAATACAGTAGGTTGTGCATTCAGATTATTAAGAGCTGGCTGGGAATTGGAGATGTGACCAAATAATGTCTCTCTCTTACTGAGGTGGATTTTTAAAAAAGCAAAGGATTGTCCTTTTCTTGTCCTTATTGATGTAGCATAGTTAGTTTCCCAATAATTTATGATTCTTTGATGATTATGCAAGAGAACTGCATTTCATGTAATCCTACCTTAGTAAAAAAAGGTACTCCAATAGTTCATAAGATTTGTAACCAAATGCACACAGTATGCAGCATGGTTTCAGCCATAACAATTTACAAGCAACGAGGAAGAATCAGCAGGAGCATTTCTGTAAGCAGGATAGTCAGTTTTCATATCTAGGACAGATAATCGATACACGCTTTATATGCTGACCTGAATTCAGTATTATTTAGTTCAGATAATCATTGATATTACACTTCAAAGACAGGGATTTCTTCATCAGAATCAATCCCGAGCCAACTAGTTAAACCGAAAAGAAACTCTCTGAAACTGACATTCCCGTCTTTGTCCTTGTCCATCTCCACTGCAAATATGTCCAAGGACAAATCCCAAGATTAAAAGGAGACGAAAAAGAAAACTCAGATACAAGAGATTGAGAATAAGAACTAATAAGTCAAGAAATAGATCGAGTATACACGTACTAAATCTAGTCCTAGTGACATGTGAAGGTGATCTCTCTGTAGGAGCGTCAGTAAATGCAGCAACAATATCTTTCTTGTTCAATTTTCCGTCACCATTTTTGTCCATATAGAAAAATACTTCAACGATTTTGTCAAAGATTGATTCCAAGTGAGGTGATCCCATCCTCAACACCTGAAGTGAAGCATCAAATGTTTAGCATGCATGAGTACATGCTTAATTAGGATACAAGTGGAAATCTACATAATTATAGAATAGTGTTATGGTAAATACAGTGCCAGTGGAGCTGGAAGGTTTAGTTAAGAGGTAAATGAGACAGAGGAGAACAATGAACTCGTTAAATTGTATGTGGCCACTCCTATCAACATCACACGAATGGAAAAGATCATCAAACTCCTGCTCTGTTAGATTGACTTGCAATTCCGTCAAGCATTTCTTAAGCTCCTCACGATCGATACTTCCATTACAATCTTCATCTTTTAGAAAAAAAATGAAGATAAGTAGTCCTATATGAGTGCAAAATTAAAGAGGAAAAAAGTGATAGATGTAGCTCACAATAATGTAAGGTTGGGTTGGTAGCTAGATACTTACCGTAGTGCTCAAACACACCTCTAAGGTTCTTGACTTGCTCTTTCAACTGTGGAAACTTGATAATGATACTGTTAATTGATCTGAATTGTTTGTTATCGTGTACTGAACCGGAAGTTTGTTGTCTAAGCTCTATTATTTTCCTTGCAAGTTTGGCATCCAACCTCCTATATTTGTTAGTACTAGTATTGCAACTACAACGGCATAGCATGCTTCCAACTTTATTAGTGATGGACTTGAGAGCAGGGCAGGAATGAATTCTCCCTTGAAAATTGAACATGTCATAAGCAAAGAAGCACTTCAACTTGCAAAATGAAGCAAACATAGCTAAACAGAATTTCTCGTTATTTTTAGATGCATTATATACTTGGTAGAATACTTATATCTAGTTGTTGTTGAGGAAAGTAATGTTAGAGTAGTCTTCATAATAGGGTTTGTGAATGATGGGAAATTAGTCCCACATTGATAGAATAGAAGTTGGTTATATAGGTTAGTCTATATAGCTAAATGTTGGATGAAAGTCCCACATTGGTAGAATAGAAGAAGTTAGCTTGTTCAATTCTATTTAAGTTGATGTTGGGAAGAATCTCCCACATTGGTTGAATAGAGGATATTAGCTTACTCTATTCTATTTAACATGACGTTGGGAAGAAACTCTCACATTGGTTGAATAGAGGATATTAGCTTACTCTATTCTATTTAACTTGATGTTGGGAAGAAACTTTCACGTTGGTTAAATAGTAAAGATTAAGTTATTCTATTCCATTTAACTTAATATGTGGGAGAAACTCCTATATTGGTTAAACAGTAAAGTTTAGTTTGGAGCTAGTTTATAAGTTTAATATTTGGAGCATAACAAAATTTTAACGTGTGTCATGGTTTATGACCACGGGCCCGATTTGGCGGGCTTTGCCCGGTCGGGCACGAACATACGTTTAGAATATAATTTTGCTCGCCTGATAGGGCTATGTTAGCTCGGTCGGGCGCGAGAGCAAAATTAATTTCTGAAGTATGGATCGCCCGATCGGGCGCGAGCCTAGTTAAAGTTTTGTCCGTTTATTTGCCCGACCGGGCGAGTATAAATGGTAACTTTCCTACGGTTAAATTGACTAGGATAATAGTGACTTTTCATTAAAAGTCAGATTATCTTAATTAATTAATTTTTGGAAATGGTGACTCTTAGACTAAAAGGTTTATTATATATTTTAATTGCTCCAAAATTTATAACTTACACCTAGAGGTGGCCAGTGGGCCGGGTTGGACCCAGCCCACCCTAACTCGCACGGCTGGTGGGTCACGTGGGTCCGACCCGGTTTCAATCCGGCACAGCCCGGCACAGCTCGGATTTAATCCGGGTTGTGTCGTGGGTCCAAAATTTTTGACACAAACCCATTTCAACCCAGCTCAGTTTAACCCGTTTGATTCGACCCAAATCGCACAACCCGTTTTGACTCATTTAATTCGACACACCTAGCCCGTGAACCCACCTAACCCGACCCACCTGGCACAACCCAGCCCGCACGGCCCACCCGCACGAATGACCCACCCAACCCACACGAGCCAACCCACCTAACCCGCACGCATGACCCACCCAACCCGCACGCATGACCCACCCAACCCGCACGGCCGGCACAACCCGCACGGCCCGCACAACCCGCACGGCCCGCACAGCCCGCACAATTCGCACGACCCGCACGGCCCGCACGGCCTAACATCCATTTTAAAAAAAAAAACGGCTAATTTTTTGTATCTAACGGCTAGTTTTTTGTATCTAACGGCTAGTTTTTTAAGTGTATGATCATCCATTCTATTTTTCCTATAAATACCAATTCCATTTCACTCAAATTTCCACACAAATTCAAGCTTTCTTTCTCTCTTACTTAAAAATTCTTATTGTTCTCAAATTCTCAAGTGTTATATAGAGTTATATTTTTGTTAAAAAAAATCTCCTTAATATTATTATTAGTATTCTTAAGATTCTAAAAAAAAAAAGTTCTTCTCCATATTATAATTAGTAATCATACAAAAAAAAATGAGCTCAAGAGGAGGAATGGGAAGGAGTCAAAGTGGTGGTCGAAGTGGTAGCCAAAGGAGTGGTGGTGCAAATTTTTCGTATGAAATTAATACGGAAAATTTAAACCAATTTGTCAATGAATATGGAGATTATGGTTTAGGAGATAGGCAAAATATTCAAACGTCTCCACCACAACATTTCTCCCACGAGTCCCACCAATCATCAAGTTCAACTATGCCACCTCCATCGCAACCAACATCTCAACCTTCATCTCAAGGTAATTTCTAATTAAATTTTTATTGTTATGAATCTTTAAAAAAACTATTATTAATGATTATAAAGTTAGTTTAGTTTCCAATTTTCTATGATTTACAATTAGTTAATTACCATGAAAAATGCGTTTAAATAAGTATAATTAAAATATTTAAAATTTAAAAGCTTATTTTCATGAATAGCATTTAAAAATTAATTTTAATAATTTGATTTATGAAAGGTGGTGGCGGTGAAAGTAGAGGTCGAACACATTTTTCTTGGGTGTGGAAACATTTTGAACGAGTTGAGGTCACACCCCCGGGATGGCAACCTGGTCAACCAAAGAGGTTCACGTGTACATGCCTAGTTTGCAAGGCGCTAGGTGCAAATGTCAAGTCATATAATTGGAAAACGGGAGATGGAACCGGAACCTTGAGTCGGCATTTGCAAAATAAACACGACTTGTTCGAAAATGGCCCCCGTCCTTCGGGGGGTGGCGTCCAAACACAATTGGGTGGATACATGAACCAACCCGGCGGAGGTACACCTTTCATTTATAATAAAGATAGAATGATTGATGAAATGAGTACTTTAGTTATTGCTAATGAATACCCTTTTAGTTACGGTGAAAATGCAAACGTTGAGCATTTTAATAAAGTTGCATTACAACCTGCATTTACTCGTGTCCCCCGAAATACCCTAAGACGTTATACACAAACTTCTTATTATAAGTATAGGAGTGGTTTGATTGAATTATTTCGTACTTTTGATGGTCGTGTTAGTTTTACAAGTGATACATGGACTTCTAGTTTTGGCGAACCTTTTCTTTGCATTACTGCTCATTGGGTGGATGATGATTGGTTTATTCAAAAACGTATACTATGTTTTCAAGCTATGGAAGAAAGGCATACCGGTTTTAACATCAAAGTTCGTATTTTGGATTGTTTAAAAGAATTTCACTTGAATAATAAAGTTTTTTCTTTGTCTCTTGATAATGCAACTGCAAACACAAAGTGTATTGACTATTTGAAAAATGACTCCGAGTTGAATTTGTTGTTGGGTGGTAGTCTCTTGCATGTTAGATGTTGTGCTCATATTTTGAATTTGTCTGTTCAAGAGGGTCTCGCTGAGTTGCAACCATTGCTAAACCCAATTAGAACAGTTATAAAATGGATTAGGATTACTCAGTCAGTTAGAAGAAAGTACATAGCTATGTGTAAAGAGAGAGGTCTTAAGAAAAGACAATGGTCTATTGATACCCCTACCCGTTGGAATTCTACTTTCAAGTTGTTGAGTGATGCTATAAAGTATCGTGATATTTTGACCCAACTTTACAATGAGACTCGTGTTGATCCTACTGAGTTAATAACCGAAAGTCATTGGACTAATGCTTCTTTTGTTCGTGATGTTTTAAATGCTTTTGATAGTGCAACTCATATTTTCTCTTATATTTATGAGCCTAACGTTCATTTAGTCATAATTGAGTGAGTTAAAGTTGTTCACACCATCGAAGAGCATATGAAGATTGATGGACTTCGTCCCGTTCTTGATAGCATGAAACGTAAGTGGCATACTTATTTTAGTGAATTTCCAATCATTTATGGAATTGCTGCTATTCTTGACCCCGGTGTCAAAGCTGAAGGTTTGGAAAATCTTTTAGAATTTTATTATACAAGTTTAAGTATCGATTATGATGTTAGTGAATATATTAACAAATGCAAATCTGTTTTGGGAGACCTTTATGATCATTATGCATCTATTTATGGTTTTGATTTGGCAACACCAACTACTACTAGCACTTCCGATTCTAGATTTGGTTTTCTTGATAAAGTTATGAAAAAAAAACACAAAGCATCTACATCATTCTCATCATCATCTTCTTCAACACTTGCTATTAATGATTATTTGTCATATCAACATGAGACCAACAACAACTTTCAAATTATAAAATGGTGGCAAGAACATAAAAAAAGTTTTCCTATATTGGCGAGAATTGCAAAAGATATACTTGCAGTTCCCGCTTCATCTGTTGCTTCCGAGTCTGCTTTTAGTGCAGGTAGAAGAGTGTTAGATGAAAAAAGATCTCGCTTAACTCCGGAAAGCATTCAAATTTGTGTTTGTAAGAAAGATTGGGATCAAGCTGAAAGAAGAACTCAAGGTTTAAAGGAAGACGAAGACGATGAAGATGATCCTGTGATGATATTGGAGTCGTCAACGGATGATGCAGCTTCCGGGGATGATGATGCAACAAACATGGTGGCTAGAAAAGTCTAAATCAGGTACGCTAAGAACTACGTGGGCTTTGATTCTTTCGGGATACGTAGGCAACTTATTTTTCGAAAATTACAATTTAATTGCAAAATTAAATTTTAGTTTTCTAAAGATAGGTCCAAGCCCCCCCCAAATTTCAAAAGAAGTACAATATAAGAACTACGCTGGCTTTGATTCCTTATTTTATAATATAAGGATACGTAGGCATCTTAATTAAGAGCAAGCCATCAAATTGTTAATTTTGTAAAAATTAAAACACCACACAACCCACCCGACCCTAACCCACGAACCCACCCGACCCTAACCCACAAACCCACCCGACCCTAACCCACCTAACCCACAAACCCACCCGACCCTAACCCACTAATCCACCCGACCCTAACCCACCTAACCCACAAAACCCACCCGACCCTAACCCACTAACCCACCCTTCGACCCACCCTAACTCACTAACCCACCTTGACCCGTCTAACCCACGAACCTAGCTCGACCCACCCATGACCCGTCTAACCCACAAACCCAGCTCGACCCACCCACGATCCGTCTAACCCACAAACCCAGCTCGACCCACCCACGACTCGTCTAACCCACGAACCTAACCCTGGTGTGTCCTACTTCTCCGACCCAACCCACGACCCGGCCCACCCTACCCTACGTGTGTCGTGCCGTGTGTCATGAAACCCCAACCCGCGACCCACCTAACCCTAACCCAGCTCGCACGACTCGCACGGTGGACACCTCTACTTACACCTCACTTTTATCTTCTTCTTCTTCCTTTTCTATTCTAATTATTCTTAAAGTGTTCTCAGGGAGTTCAATTACATTACTTTAATTGATCTCGAACTTAGGGAAAATCTTGGAAGCATATTAACCGGTAACGCATAACAATCATAGTGGGGGTTAAAATTACTTTAAGGACAGTGTAAACACGTCCCTAATTCTTCATCCCCATAATTATTTTCTAAGAAGTAATACCTCAGGATTCATCTAGGCTTGGGTTGTCAAATAAAAATGGGGAGGGGGGGGGGAATGAAAGTAGTTAGTCCGTATACAGCAAAGATGCATTTCATTAAAAAGTGACAAAATAGTTTGAGAAAACTATGAAAAGATTAGGCAATTAGGAGAGACAAAGAAGAGGATATAGGAAAGGGATGCCTTAAATTTGCTAATGATGGAGAATTGCTAGAAGTAACAACAGTAAATACTACTTAGCCTGAATATAACAACATCGGGAAGAATTCAAAGCAAAAGAAAAAAAGAAAGACATGAATTACCAGTGGGTGAAGTTGAATTGTCCATGTCTTGAAAAGAGCGAGTTGGTGTTTGCAAGCAAGTTATAGAGAAAACCAGAATCAGAGAAAGGAAGAAAGAAAGAAAGAAAGGGCAGTGGTAGGAACTTACAAGGCACTTTTACCTCCACCAACAAACAAGCAAAGGAGGGAACAATAGGTGTGGGTCTTCGTTCCCACCCATTATTCCAATCCATTTTGGAGATAAAAAGACAATCAGAATCAGCTTTTGCTTCTTAATTAAAAAAATGCAGCTTAAATAACCTCTCCTCCACCGTCTAGTATTATACCCCCTTTGTCCCTAATTGTATTTTTTAATTCAATTAAATTTTACTTTATTAACATCAAACAAATTTTTTACTTTGTTAACATCAATTATGTATAACTTACATTAATTTTTTATGCCAATTTCGAGCTCAATTTGAAATCCGGGATATTTTTCGATTAGCAAATCGTTGAAAAAAATGGATTAAATGGCAATTAATAATTTATTAGTATTTTTGGTCTGCAATTTTTACTTTATTTTTTTTGAATGACTTCAATTTGCAATTTATTTTTTTGAATGACTGCAATTTGCAAAATAATTCGTATAAATTTTAAACGAGTGCAATTGGCAAATTTTCGTTTACTAAATAATCGAGAATTTAGGCCCTAATTTATAGGGCGACAAAGACAATAGAATGGAAATTGGCACAAAGTTAAGTGAGTTGAAGCTGCGAAAGTGTATACGGCAGGGGCGGACTTGGCCTTGTGCCTGGTGGGTCAAATGACTCACCAGGGCCCAAAAAAATTTCTAAGTCTTTTTTTTTTTAAAAAAAAATAAATAAAAAATTATTAGTTTGTTAATTTTAGTCTTGTCAATTTTAAGCTTGTTAAATGTTAGTTAGTATTGTAATCTTGTCAATTTTCTAATTGGATGATCTTTGTAAGTAATTTTTTTTGGGAATTTTGGTAAAATTTTTTTTTTTTACATATTTGGTTATCGATTGTGAGTTTGTGACTCACCGGTCAGAAATTCCTGGGTCCGCCACTGGTATACGGTTGTTGAAGCTTTGACGTCCATAGCTATGTATCGGTCTGTTTGTGGTGTATATCGTATTCTCCCACGTTCTCCCGAACTCAAATGGAGAATATCAGGCGCCTATTTCTCCACTCACGTCGACGTCAATCAGCCATTGCTGGTAATTTTAATAAATTCATTCATTTTCTCTGTCTTGGATTAATAAGCTGGATAGTCTGGGATTGATTACATTAACATTAACAGGTGCGTGATTTCATACACGCGGCGCTTTACGACCCTGAGCATGGTTACTTCTCCAAAAGATCAGCTTCAGTTGGAGTTTTGGATTCTAGTATTAACTTCAATCAACTTCAAGGTTGTTCTCCATTCCAATTTCTGTCTATTATTATTCTTCTGCTCTATTCCAACTTGAAGTATTAATTTTTTTTTTTCCAGGCAGAAAAGCTTATTTGCAACATCTTAATAAGGTTTACAAACAAAGTGAAGTTTCATGGTTTACTCCTGTCGAGCTCTTTAAGGTTTACATTTTTCTTTTTCTATTTTTTTGATCTAAAATTCTAAATTAGGTATTTAGATTTTACAAACAATTATCTCTTGCAGCCTTGGTATGCCCATGGAATCGCCGAAGCCATTTTGCGAACCGCTAATCTTTCAGTTCCGCTAAAAGTGAGTCCCTTATTCAGTTATATGCTCAATTCTTTGTCTGGCTGCTTTTTCTTACTAAGATGTTATTTGAATTCAGATCTATGAAATAGGCGGCGGATCAGGAACTTGTGCAAAGGGTATAATGGATTATCTGATGTTGAATGCACCTTCATGAGTTTACAACAACATGACCTACATGTAGGTACATAGTCCAGGATAGCTTTACCTTTGTTACCTTATAGGTTCTGGATTGTGGATGTTCTCCTTATTTTTTTTTTTTTATACTTTTGTCTGTTATTATAACAATGATTATTAGTACTGTTATTCTTTCTTTGAATTGTATTACTTCAGATTTCCTCTAATATTTAAATTGGGTTATTGTGTTCACTTTATCTGTATCTTTATTTCATCTTGGAATCCAATTCTATGGGATGCTTTGGCATAGGAATATCATGTGGAATCTTATCTTGAAGTTATTTTTCCTCTCGGTTAAACTTCATGTGAGTTATAGGACTATTTTGGGTTTAGGAGAAATCTTCAGTGGGAGTCTGGGAGAAGACCTCTTTTCCTGTTGGTTCCCCTGTGCTTTATCAGCATTGAGTTTATCCCATGCTTTTCTAACTCATTGTATGGTTTGGGCCTTTGGGGGTGATTACGTTCATGTGGGTTGGAGTTTGGTCTCTTTTTTTCTTTCTTTTTTTTTGCAAGTATGAGAGTGTGAAAAGAAGATGCTAGAAAGGGGAACTGGAAACCCATATGACTATTTATTGTTCACCACTCCCTCCGTCCCTATTTGTTTGTCCCTATTCCTAATATGGTGACATTTTCTAACCACTAACCCTACTTGCATACACTCATAAAATCGAAAAAGATATAGGGAGTTTTGAGGGGCCTGTGTGGTTGCTCACCCCTTTAAATCAAAAGTATAGGAAGCTTGGTAATACTCTTGATAGTCTTGATGTTGTTCAAAGCATGGTTTTTAATAATGCTTTTATTTTTTATTTTTTATTTTATTTATTTATTTTTATTTAATTTTTTTTTTATTTTTTTATGGGTTGATCCAGATTGTTTTTAAGCATTTCAAATCACTATGTACTGATCAAATGAAAAGATATTATATTTTGGGCCGTATGACCTCTACAAAGCCTAGGATAGTTGGTCAAAGGGCAGTTTTCTTCTAATTATAAGGTTAGCTAGTTAAGTTCTTGTATTTTTAATGGATACTAATCATACAGTATGATGTAGAATTACATTCCACTTTAGTGGGTTCAAACTCTAATTAAATTAGCTACTTATAATGAGCACTTCTATTATATTTTAAAGATTCTTACATGTTTAGTCATCACTTAAGTGGGTTCATTTGCACCCGCATGCTTCTACATGCCTCCTCCCTTGTTGCCTCTTGTCTTCTCTTTGCCATCTTATAAATGATCTTTTCTCTCTCCTTGGGTATAACTGCCTTTGCCATACTTTTAGCCTCCTTATATGCTGCTGTAAAGGTTTCGTCGCTCCTACATTTTCCCTTGATAGCATTCCCTTTTTTATTTAATTGCTTTCACCCCTTCATTCCACCACAAAGTATCTCTCTACATCGAAGTGCTCCCCCTTAATTCCCCTAAGACCTCTTTGGCCACTCTCAAAGAAATAGTTCTTCATTCGTAACTAAGTCATGTCTAGATCCTCCTCTCCATCTCAATCAGCCTCCTTGATTACTTTTTTAGTAAAAACCTTAGCATTTGCATTCCTTAGAGTCCACCATCTTATCTTTGGCTCCTCTTGTCTTCCTTTTTTTTTTCGCCTTCTATTTCAAATGAATATTCATAACCAAAAGCCGGTGTTGGGTGACCACACTTTCCTGGGATGACCTTGCAGTTTAAGCAACTTTGTCTATCCGTGCTTCTTGTGAGCAGGAAGTCTATTTGTGTAGCATTTGTTCCACTCCGGAAAGTTATCAAGTGGAAATCCCGCTTCTTAAACCAAGTATTAGCTAGAATTATGGGGAAAAATCCATAATAGCCTAACCACTTGCATCCCTCTGCCTATACCCAAAGCCTCCATGAACACTCTCGAAGCCATCTCGGCTTGCCCTAACATGCCCATTCAAATCACCTCCAATATATAATTACCACCTCATCTAAATCCTCCCAAAATTGTCGTTTCTCCTCTGCTAAACCAACTTGGGGAGCATAAGTACTAATAATATTCACAATCTCCTTGCCACATAGCAACTTCACCCTTATCAATCTATCATTCTTCCGATAGACCCTTATTACCTCTTTCGACAAACTCTCATCGAGAATCACACCACTCCATTCCTAGCTCCACCATTCCTAGTCATATGGCTCGTTTCCCGTCCAACGTACCACACAAAACCAAGCCTCGAGCTCCTTCTCTTGTCCACCTTGTCTCTTGGAGGCACATGATGTTTACGTGTCTTCTCTTCATCACTTTTACCATTTCTGCCGATTTCCCCATAAGAGACCCCACATTCTAAGAGCCAATCCGCAAACTAGAGTCCTTCCTCACACGCTCCCTCATACCACGCTCACTCGTACTATGCTCCCTCGTACCACGCTTCATCGTGCCCCCAACTGCAAGCCCTTAATCATTTGACACCACACTTGGGCAATGTGGCGTGTCGCTTCCGGGCGACGACCTAGCAACCCTTGCATACTTATCACTACACCTCAGCGAGTCACTGTGTAGGGAACGCCCCCACGAAAATATCAGTTTGACTCATGTCATGGGATGTGACAAAGTTTTACACCGGCCTCCTCCTTTATCCCGACTTGGGACTGGCAGTGGGAAACCCACTAAGAAAGCTCAAGTGTAGCAAGAATTCTAGGATTTGGAGCACATACAGATTGTTCAACTTAAAAATAGAAAATTATACCATTGGTAAATCAAGGAATACCCAATACCCTCAAGGCTTTATTTTTTTTTTTTTTTTTTTTTCGTTCTTCTTTCTATTTGCAGTGCTATTAGCAAGTTTACTTTACCCTCTCTTTAAGATAGTTTTTGATACCCAACATGTAAGTGCTTGACCCTTGGATCCTATTCAGATTTGATAATTGGATAAGTATTATTTATAACTAAGGGCTTATTTTAGAAGGTGAAGTACTTTGTTGAATGGATTGTTTGTGAGTCCCTGACCGTAGATGAAGCAGTTCATTTGAGTAGACGAGTGGGACCTGGCTGAAACACAGTCTTTTCTGCTGATCAGTGCTCAGCTCACATGGGACATAATAGTGTTTGTCCTGTAGTTCGCTCGACTTCTTGGACGTATGAGTGTATGACTTCGGTATTTTTGGTCATTTACTGATGGAGCTAATTCAGGCAGAGTTTTTGAGCAGTATTACATGAAGTGGTAACGGTTGGGTTGACATCAGGCAGGATGGAGATAACATTTTTATGTGAGATTTATGGGGTGGAATTGCTTTCTATGGGATACAGGGTGACTTTACATTGAAATTTGGGAAGATTTAGCCATCTTATTGGAATTTGGATAGCACATTATAGTGATGCATCTGCCGTCATGAAAATTTTAAATTCATCTTTTTAATTGGTGCAGATCTGTGGAGATTAGTCCTTCTCTAGCTGAAAAACAAAAGGAAACTGTTGGCCAAGTTCAGAGTCAC